GGTAATTTTCCATTTTCCTAACTGGTGGAGCAAGTACCCCGGGGGGTATTACTGCAGTAGCCTGGGGGTTAAATAGACAAATTAGTAGTTAAAAAACCCAAAAGAACCTTATTGAACTAAGGTAGCCTGAGCAGCTTTGAGCAGAAAAGGTAACAGTTATCTAAAACGAATGTTTTAGGGGCAGAAAGGCAAAAAAAATATGGATCCATTATTTAAAATATTATTAATTGTTAAATATTTTATCAAAAAACAAGTATCTTACAAAATGTTTTTGATGTATATACTGTTAATATAATATATAAATATAGACCTATATGGATATATTTTTTTTAAGTAATTAGGAAGTGTGCTGCTTAAAGTAGGCATAGGTTTAAATGTATTTGCTAAAGAACAGTTTAAATAGGCAGCCAACATAACTGGATCCAATATTTTAAAATATCAATTTTGGAGATATGGGAAATGGCTAAAATTGCTCACTTAGAGTATGAATAATATACACTTTTTGCAAGTATGCAAGTATAGGAATTTAAAGCTAATAGTTTGAATATATATGTGTACAGTACTGTGCAAATGTCTTGAGCCGCACCTCATTTCTTGATATCTATATATTTATTTATATTTTATAAGAGTAGTGGATGAATGGCTATGACTGACTGTTTGAAAGCAGGTCAGATCCTCTTTTAAATCTGTTCAAATAAATACATTTGAACTTGAAACATTTGAGTTTCTGGAGTCTCTGTGACAGTGCTGGGGATGATAATGATACAGAACTGACCCCAAAAGTGATTAGTATTATCAGCAGATTACCTGTTATGTCTGTTTTCTTGATTTTGGGATTCATGTGGTTGTTAATCCCCCCAAAAAACACAGACAAACTTTTAAAGGTAGAAAGAAACATGTTGAGATTCTTCACTGGACCTGATATGACAATCTACACTTTTGATATTCTGCAAATTAATTTATAAAAAACACACAGGAGTGTGCACTTTACATCTGGTGACTCCGATGGGAGTGCTGTTTTCTAACGATCGACCGTTTCGCAAGCTTTCCCTGACTGACAGATTTTTATATGTTTGCCCGCGTATCACATTTCAAAAGCTGTGGTGTTTTTCCCTTACTTTTCACCCTGAAAAGTTCACCAGCTAACAAGATGGCTCATTATACTTTGGATGCAGCTCGTTTTTCCCGCACCTTGAAATCTGCTTTTGAATGCATGCTTTGTCAGTCTCTCTGGCCAATATTGACACAGACATGCCAACGTAAAGTTGAGCAAACTATGACCTTCACCTCAGCCATCATCCAATGAGAAACAACCACAGATGTGTAAATATTATTTATCCAGAAAGAAAATATTCTTCTTATTTACAGAAGACACCTAATCCCTCTTTTAGTTTTGTCAGTTTGATGATTCTTTACGTCACGATTAATGATTTGCCGTGCGGATTGTTTCAAAAATATCTTAGGTTAGTTCGCTTGAGTTGGGTTTGCCTTCAGCTACATCTTTGGATGCTCGTCTGCCGCTTTGCTGTATGTCGGGATTATGTGCCTTCCTCCAATACTGGTTTAATGCACATTTTCTTCTATATCAGTGAAGCTCTAGATGTCATGGCCCCCCAGATCACAGCCCAGGTCAAAGCCGAGTGAACGCTGTCATTGTGGAATGTGTTCAGAATTGAGCCTTTCATTCAAGGTCCTTGTTGATTGATGGGTTTTTGTTTTGCAGCAGTTTCCTGGCGACGTCTCTGTTCGCACTGAAAACTCTGTTCTGAGTGGTACACAAGTAAAAATCAGCATAATTGCACTAATTACAGCCAATTTTATTGCTGAATGGACCCCGCTGCCACGTCTTACAACAAGCGGGAGGACAAGACCATCTCACGGCACGCTCAGATAGAGACGAAAGCGAGTTAAAAAGGCAGATCCACTGATCGCACTCCATTCAGCAGGGTGAGAAAAGAAGAGGAGACAAGATACAGCAGAAATTGATCTGGGCATCAAAATTGAGCACCCAGGTCACGAGACAGCCTTGAGCAATGGGGCCCCCTGGTTTCCATTCAGGTCTTAGCTGTCGCGATATCCTGCGTGACAGCTTCACAGCTCCCAGAGTCTTCTCCAGGGAGAGAACCGAGTGAATCCCAACAAAACGTCTTTGTCGACATCTGAGAGCGGAGCGGTCACACGAGTGTCAACAAACACTCCGAGGGGCATTCCTGTGTGCATTCCTGTGCCTCTTCAGTGGAATAACAGGGTGAATCGCGTGTTTGAAGCCAAACACAACTTCGGGGGGCGGGACTCCACGATACAGTACAATAGAAGGCCTCAACAGGAAACCGCAGCCAACAAGCTTCATTCAACAAGGACACAGCTAATTTGTTCATTCAGCATTGAGCCCATCACTTCTACAGGGAAACATCCCGCATGATTTTTCTTCCATCAGCACAGGCATGTTATCAGATGTGAGCTAGTCATGTAAATGCATCCAAATTGCTTTCTAATGTCTCCACATTCTGTCATTGGTTTGCTTTCCTTTTCTCTCCAAATGTTCTGTTTTTTGCTCTTTACTTTCCTTCACGTACCTTTATGTCCCTTTGGTTATTTCCCATGGCTCCTTGGCCTATTACGTATTGGTATCTCTCTGGGCGGACATCCAGGGAGCTGAGGCTAGCCATGCAACTTCACTTTGACCTTTGACCTCGTCGTTTTAGGCTCCTGCACTTAGGCCACAATAGCACCTGCCATTCACCAACTTTCTCTCCTCGCTGTCCTGAATTTTATCCTCCCATATAACCATCATTCTCCTCATCTCTTCACCCTTTCCTTTGTCCAACACATTCCAGGGTTATATAGGCTCCTCTGGGTGTTCACACACACTCTCTACATTCACTTGAGACAATGAATGTAGGGTGGAGACAGAGAGCAGTATAGCTAAAACTTTGAAGGTCCATCTGTGAATGTTGTCACCACCAGTTTTCTGTGTACTTATCAGGCAAAAATGACTCAAATAATCTGCAAAAAAAAAAAAGTGTTTGTTTTTTTTAGGTTTGATCACCTCACATTTAGACACACTCGTGTAGCATCACACGTATGAACTGTGTACATTGATCTGCCTCAGTATTAAAACCAGCTTCACGAAGGCCCCACTCTCTGTGCTGCTCAAACAGGCCTGAACCAGCTGTATATGGATGTAGGACCTCTGGAAGCAAAAAGCTGGCAGAAGAGCTTCCGTGAATTAGGCTTGTTCCAGTATATCCCACAGACTGGGATCAGGGACATTTAGGGGCCCTTTCATCACCTTGATACTTTGTCACGTTACACAAGTCGAGCTGTTTTTTCAGTGTCACAGGGCACTTTGAACTTTTGAGGAACAGCATGCCGCTGCCATGTGAAGCATGTCAGGTTGATATACTGATAAAGACCGAGTGTCTGCCAGTAAAATAAATCATTGTAACAAAACGGTCAATGTGACCCTTGTCAGTGGTTTTCACCAGCACACTCAGTCTGAATATTTTGATTTTCATAAGAGGATTTATTTGATATGTTCCTGTAACAGTGATCCACTCAGTCTGGGCTCCTGGGTCAAAAGTCTGTGTATGGCATGGAATTAATACCCACATAGGGCAGTTATATACTGCCATCAGGTGGTGACTGATAAGTTACACACAATTGCAGTTGAACTCATCACCATTTCTAACCATGCCTTCACCTCTACACAAACAGAATTAAACTTCCTCACTTTGATTTTTTTCATATGCTATACATTTCAAACATCACTCAAAAAAAGGTTCAGAACTGTTGCTGGGACTAACCTTGATTTATCAGTTTGAAAATGAAATGTCTCATAAAACTATGAGGGCCTCAAGTGACATCATAGCTCACCTTTAAAAATATCTCGTTCTCTTTATGTGATGGTACTGTGCTGAACGTGCTCAAGACTAACAAAGTCACCGTGCATCAATGCACCGTGCCGCACAAATTCAGCCACTTGAAGTAAAAGGCCCTGTCATAGAACAAGGATGAGATGAATACACTTTTAAACGTGCATCAGTTTAGCTTTCATTAACATCACAAACTTGGTATTTTATGGGAAAAGGAAAAAAAAAAAAGAGTGCTATGATGGATTCACTGTGATCAGAGCCACCTGTGTCTTGCTCAAGCTGGGCCACCATATGGCCAACTGGCTTAAAAGACTATTGCAGAGAACAGTTACACTGACCAGATTACAGAAAATGCTAAACCTGCGTGTCAGGGACCTACTCTGCTCTGAATCTCATGCGAGTTTAGAAATGGAAAGAAAATATTTTTTCTCGGACTTAAACTGAGGATGCTTTTATCATTTAACATTGTAGCATACAAGTATAAATTAGATCGAAATAGGACAGCAGTAGTTCTGGTACTTAGAACTGAACCACAGCAGATGGCTCTGGAGGTTCAATTTGGCCCAGATTTTACACCTCATGCCTTCTTAATGGAATCTAATTTATCTGAGCTTGGGACAGCCTGAGAGTTTGTGTCTTAGTCTTGAATCAGAGTCTAATTACTACACCATGGAGCCATCTTCATTAACAGTCATTCACTGTCAGTGGGTGGCACAAAGAACAAGAGCAGATTATTTAACAATAGTGATCAAATATGCCCAGCTGGGGAAAATATGCATTCTCCACATAGAAAGCCTCCAGTCTGCAAGGGGATTGACACCCTGGAGCTTCTCACTGTGAGGCAACAGTGCACACCACTGTGCTGCCAAAAATGACCAGTTTATCACTAGTAACTTTTGTGTTTTAAGGCCTTTTTGTACTCTCATGTTAAAAAATATTTAGCCGTTTGCCTACACATTTGTTCATGATTTATGTAGTGAAATAGACATTCATCCGAAACAAATAAATCCCAGTAAATACAAGTAAATATGTTAAAACACTGAAAATGAGTCTGAAGACATGGGTCAGTCAAGGAAAACCCACTTGATTAACTTGTGTAAATGTACATACATATAAAACAAGGAGTCAGTTACCAACTGCTCAGAACTTTATTTCGAGAAAATGAGGGTTAAAATTAAATAAAAATATAAAATTTAGATGGGCAGGTCTTTCTTTAAAGAAAGTGACCCCGGGAGAGTAGGCAGCTCTCCAGAGGAGAGGGAGAGAAGAAAGAGGGAAAAGACAGGAAGCTACAAAATGAAGCTCAGAGGGACGAGCCCGGCCATTCAGGAAGTCATGTATAAAAAGAAAAAAAGAGGAGACAGATGCAGTTAGTTATTATAAACCCCACCCCCATCTGAAGTGTCCTCAAATGCAATCAGTGCTATAGCTCTCTCCTTTTCCTTTTTCTGGTTTCTTCCAGGAAGTTTTGGGTCGTTTTTCTTCTTCACTCACTCTCTCACTAACATCTCATTTTGTCTCAATGTAACATCTTTTCCTGCAGTTTTGAAAAAAGTAAACAAAAAGTCCTTCAAAAATAAAATGCAGCAACCACATTTCATGTTCTACTATTACATATACAGTATATATATATATATTTATATATAAATACATAAATATCTTACATGTACAACCAATTTTGAAAAGGGGGGGGAAGAGAGAACCCAAAAGACTTAAGAGGACTTGGAGGTGGGGGGAGCAGGGCAACGAAACCCATGGTTGCTCATTGTGAGGGTAGTGTGTTTGTTTTTCTGTTTTAGCTTTACACACGCAGCCTTTCAGGGAGACGAGGAGAAAAAACAAAACAAAAAAACCAAAAAACATATGGAAGCATTCCTCAGTTTGTCCAGTATGCAGAGCTGCTATAGCTGGACTTGCTGCCTTGGGTTTTCTGCTGCATGCTGCTGGACTGACTGCGCTGACCAGGACCGCCCTATGAAGAAAAAGAAGTCCATTCAGTGGATGCGTTTAATTTGTGTCATTTCAAGTGCTTATATTATTCATTTTAGTCAGCCCTATTCTATTGAACTTATCACACAAGAGGGTGTAGATTCTAAATATACAACAACAGTGGAGAAAACCAGGAATTATCAAGAACTTTTCAGTGATGATGGATAGTGACAGGCCAAATAAAATCCTTAAAACTGCAGGAACGACTCTGCGCACAAAGCATTCGACAGGGTTTCCTGGCAATACTTGGCCCATACACTTGAAAGAGTCAAATTTGGGCCAAACTTAATTAAGTGGATACAGATTCTTTACTCCAACCCAATGGCGGCTGTACGGGTAAATGGAACAATATCAGCCAGATTTCCACTGGAACGTGGGTGTAGACAAGGTTGCCCACTGTCGCCCCTGCTGTTCGATGTAAGTATTGAGCCTCTGGCGCAGCTGATTAGAGATGAACATGAAATTCAGGGCCTTACAATTAATGGAGAACAGCATAAATTGTCCATCTATGCAGACGATGTACTTTTATACATTTCAAATCCTGCAGTCAGTGTACCTCATTTAAAAGAAATTATTAGTACATACAGTTACCTCTCTGGTTACAAAGTTAATATTGACAAAACATTGGCAATGGATATAGGAGGAAACATTTCATCTGGCTTTAAATGGCCAAAGGAAGGTATCAAGTATTTAGGAATTCAAATTCCTCACTTATTATCAGACTTGTTTAAAAGTAAATTATGTAAATTATGTCCTGTCTCTGTCTTTCTTGGGTCGGATCGAGAGTATACGTATGAATGTATTGCCAAGACTTCTAGACCTTTTTCAAATGCTGCCTATAAACATTCCCAACTCTACATTTGATAATTTAGATAAACTTTTTTCCAAATTTATATGGCAAGGCAAACGCTCAAGGATCAAGTTCCAAACATTAAAACTGTCAAAACTGCAGGGGGGACTGGCTGTTCCAAATCTGAAATATTATTTCTGGGCAGCTCAGATGAGACCCCTGACTGTATGGGTGAGGGATCTGTCTGAAACTCAGTGGCTAAACATTGAGAAGACAATATGCGAAAGACCATTGGAATCCCTGTTTTTTTTCTAACATTTCAATTAAAAATGTGCATATGGGGGAATGGACGAGGGTCACTAAAGATTTGGCGTAGAATCAAACAATCATTCGGTCTTCCAAAAGAAATTTCAATTTTATCAAGCCTCTCCTCCCAGCAGGGTTTTTCTCCTATTGTGGAAGACTGGCTTCAGAGCATGGTCACATAACGGGCTTCGTAAACTTTGGCATGTTGTGAGGAATCGGCACCTGAGCTCATTTGAACAGTTGAGGTCAGTTTCGGCTTCCTTCTTCTGACTTTTTCAGATTTCTGCAGCTAAGTTTTTTGACAAAACATAAAGAATGGAGGCAAGTTTTGGAGCCCTCACCCACTGAGGAAATATTTCTAAAAATATTTCAAAGTAATTCCTCCGCAAAATTAATCAGCAATTTCTATAACGCATTTATGAGTTTCAGTACAAGTGCAACTTTGGATATTAAGGCAAGGTGGGAAGCTGAGACTGGCACTCAAATCTCAGAGGACGCCTGGGAAGAGGTGTTCGGTGAAGCCCATCTCGTGACTGACTCTGGGCTGTGGAGAGAATTCAAATGGAAGGTGGTCATGAGATATTTTAGAACCCCAGAGATAATGGCCAAAATGAAGCCTACAAATCCTGATACCTGCTGGCGAAATTGTGGTACTCATTTAGGAACCCATATCACAGATGCCCAAAAATCTGCTCATTTTGGAATGACATATTTAGAGTTCTCAATACAGTTTTCCAACAACCA